TCTCTCTGTCCCAAAAATAAATAAACATTGAAAAAAAATTTATATTAATCTCTTAAAATTTGCTGGTTGCTGGTCATCCATATGGGTTCAATTTCATATAGCATTCTATTATTGCAAACAAACCAATTCTTCATATTCCCCAGCAGCAGCTTAATCCGTGTTTGTTAACAAACTCAAACCTTGGTTCCTTACTGCAATTTTTATTTTTTAGAGCTTTGGGATTTTCACAACTTGTATATGAGAAGTTTGAGACAAAGGTACAAAACTGGAGAAATTCAGATACTTGAAAATTGGGGGAAGCACAGATATTATACCAAAGGTAGAGGTATGATTCTATGGCAAATTAGTTAAGATTATTTGGATTGCAATTAATAGAACCAACTCTAACAACGAAATATACTGGAAGGGTAAACAAGCATATTATGCTGCCTAAGGATAGAACTGTAACAGTGTGCCCAATTCAGGGACTTAGACATCATGTCTTCCTATATTTTTTTCTCTTCTCTCTGCCATCAACTTCCTACCCTCTGTCTATCTATCCTTCTGTCTAACTATCCATTTATCTGTCTTTCTCAACAGACCATCTTTTTTGCATTTCCAATACACTGAGTGGAAAATCTGCTGCAGTTCCTACCTCCCACACAGAATGACTCTGTTTTTCTATCTCTCTGTCTTTAGCTCTCACAAATAGTTCCCCAGTCACTGGAAAGTGTGTTTATTGGCCCATTTTGCATTATTAGATGCCTCGTCCTGCACCATGCATGTAGATACATGGTAATTCTCTCCACAACCATGTAGATAGACAAGATGGGCAATTCCTGGAAAAGTGGGGTTGATCAGATGAAACAATAGATGCCCACTCTCTGTCTTCACGATAAGTGACAGAATGTCTTACATGGCATGGCGGGGACTCATTTGTCTACCTGTTCTAAAGGCATCTCTATTTTGTGCAGGGCGCGGGGTTAGAACACCACAATGAGCTGGACATGACCTCTGCACCCTCCTCCTAGTTTTGTGTCTACCATTGACTGTCTGATCTTAGTAAGTCACTTCTATTCCCTGGGCTGCTGCCTCCTTTCTTAAATGAATAGGACAGACAGATCGCAGAGGTGATTTATGCTTTGTTAAAATGAGCCCAGGAGCCTAAGATCATATCAGTGTGGTTTCAATCACTTTTCATCAAGAATCTCACACTCATGATGCAGAAGTTTTCCCACCAAGAAATTATAAGCATTGCCTGAAGCCCATCCCCTCGTGTAACCCCACTAGTATAAAATAGAGTAGGATGTCATGAAATGTCTCAGTTACAAAAACCTTTGTTTTGTGTAAATCAGAAATGTAAACTGAATGGAAGTCATGACTTCACTCTTCTCTTAAAACATACACACACACGCGCACTCAACATAGTAGTTTATATCCAGCAAGAATTGGCAGATATGGTCCTATGGCACTGAGGATTTGAAACACATCCTCTAGCTTTACAAAGCCAGACCTTGCAATAAATCTTGCTAGCTGTGTGGCCTCATCTTTGGCCAAGAGACTGGAGGAGCTCTTTGTGGTGAATGTATTGCCAGTGAGATGCCTGTGTTGTTTTGGTAGAAAATTCCAGAAGAGGAGCTGCAACCAGAAAACCCTCCTGCTGAGATTTCAGCCCCCAAAGATCCCCTGAAAGCTTTGAAGGTCAGGCCAATCTCACAGCCTTTCGTGACTCCAATGATGAAGAACGAGCCTGAAGAATATGAGACATGGATTGACAGGTTCAGGAAGCTGGAAAATGCCCTCTACCTGTGTGACCTGACTAATACAGGTGAAGTGGGACGCTTACAGTGGATACACCTTTCTATTTGTGTTCTAGTCTGGAAGTGGACACCTCCTTCTCTCTCACTTCTTACCAAGTACAGTTTGTATAGAAACCACGTGCACTGGCACTGGGATCACAAGCAGGAAATACAAAGATGAATCAGAATCAGACGTGAATCACCCACCAGTTTGCTTACAGTTTCTTATGTCTTTGATCCTCCTCCATCAACCCCTGGAGTCCAACCCATAATCCAATCTTGTAAACTCCTGACTGAAACCTTCAGTGTGCCCACTGGCAGGCTGAACTCCAAACTCCTTAGCAAGGCAAAAGCTGGTTCTGTCCACCTGACCAGTCTCTTCTCCTTCAACTCATTATTCTCTCAGCATATCCTACCCTGTCATAATGAAGAACTTGTCTTCCTCAAACACGCTATGCTTTCCCCTGTGGCTGCTCTTTGTCTAACCCTATGCCCAGTCTGAGCTGTCCACCTCTCTTCTTCCTACCTTACCCACTGCCAACTCCTCATCTTGTCCGCCTGGCTAGCTCATGCCTAACCTAAACATATTTTATGTTAGAACTCAGGCTTTACTCCTCTGAGACTCCCGGGATTTCCCCAAGAAAGATCTAGGCCAACCTTTATCTGGCCTCCTAGACTTCTTTAACAACCATTATCCTGTTTGATATATTGTATTTTTTTTTATCTGGAGACTTACTACAATATCACCAGTAGACTATATTCCTTTTTTAGCTCTAGTACCTTGCATAATTCTATTCAACTTTTTAATTTTTTTTAATGTTTATTTATTTTTGAGAGACAGAGCACAAGTGGGGGAGGGGCAGAGAGAGGGAGACACAGAATCTGAAGCCGGGTCCAGGTTTTGAGCTGTCAGCACAGAGCCCGACGAAGGGCTCAAACCCCGCAAAATGCAAGATCATGACATGAGCTGAAGCCGGACACTGAACCAACTGAGCCACCCAGGCACCCTTATTCAACTTTTTTTTTTTTTTGAGGGAACAAATAAATGAATATAAATACATAAATAAATCCAAGATGGAAGGTGATAAATACCATTACAGTGTGCTATGTCAGCATTCAGAGAAAGGCGAATTCCTTCCTAGTGAGGTGATCCGGGAAGGTTACGCTAGTGTGAAATTAACCGTTAAGGATAAAGCACAGTTTACGTACAAAGGAATGAAATAGACTTTTCTGGCAAAAGTGCGAGTTACCCAAGCAAAGCGTTATGTGTAAAGCTCAGTGTCAGAAGTTTGGTTTGGAAAAAAGACAAGGGCTATTAAGAAGAATGTTACATGATAAAGGTAGAAAATATAAGATTCTAGCTCCAAGAAGATCTTAGACGCCAGACCAAGGAATTTGGATTTAGATCAAAGGGAATGAATAGCACTGAGAGTTTCTAAGCAGAGAACTGGTATGATGAAGTCGTATCTCAGAAAGACCCTCAATGGCTACGTGCAGATTTGAGGAGAAACTGAAAGCAGGGAAAGGAGAAAGGAGGCTACTGCAATGTCCTAGTGAAAATGAAGGCCAGGTCAAGGTCAGAAGCCTGCAGAATGGAAAAGAGGGAGCAGATAGACAAGCACCTGGACTGAAATCATTGTACTTAATTACATTCTGTGTTCATGATGAATTAGTATATTATATGTGGAGCCTAAAGATATGGAGCTCAGGGGCGCCTGGGTGGCTCAGTCGGTTGAGCATCTGACATCAGCTCAGGTCATGATCTCACAGTTTGTGAGTTTGAGCCCTGCATCGGGCTCTGTGCTGACACCTCGGAGCCTGGAGCCTGCTTCAGA